ACAATTGGGGGACCGAAGCACCAAAAATAAATAAATAAAAATAAAAATAAATAAATAAAAATTAAAAAATGCATGCACACTCTCTCAGCCCCAGAAAAGCCATGGCAAAACCCTTGTGGAGATTTTGCCAAGAAATCCCCAAGAACAAGTAATAACAACAATAATAAATATCATCATGGCGGGCGGCGATGGAGGCGGGGGGGCGGCGGCGATGGTGGCAGGACCAGCCTGGGGCCGGTCCAAAGGCCTTGGGGGGCGCATTCGGCCCCCGGGCCTTAGTTTGCCTACCCCTGGGCTACGTTGTTTCAGTCCCTTACCTATACTGCTTACAACTGTCTGTCAGAAGCTGGAAGAGAGAACTATTTGTATTTTGCTTATGAACCCTTGGAGTGAGGGGAGATTCTTAATCTCTCCAGATGTTGATGAATTATGACTCCCATCACACCGCCACTGGCCAGGCTGAGTGGGAGATACTGGAGGGCTGTCGGTCCCATAGCCCTGCCCTAGAAGAACATGGTTAAAGGAAACAGGCTACCAGATGGATGGACCACTAATTGTCTCTAGCACCAGGCTGACCTTTCAGTTATAACTGGACTGCAATTCCAATAATCCTTCATCATTGTTTGTGCTGATGGAATGGCAATCCAACAACATCTGGAGAGCTACAGTTATCCAACCCTCCTCTATCAAGATTCTACTAATGTTGTAAAGCAGGGGAGGTCATTGTGTGGTGCTCTAGAAGTTGCTGGACTACAACTTCCAGAAGCCCTAGACAGCATGGCTGATGGTGACGAATGCTGGAAGTTGCAGTTCAACAACACCTGGAGGGTCCCTAAGGTTGCCAGACTGAAAACTGGAAACAACTCCTGTAAGGTTATTGGTTGTATGGCAAAGGGACGTTTAGCAGTTTTTACTTATTTGGAGAATTTATACCCCACTCTTCAGCTACAAAGGCTCTCAGAGCATCTTATAAATGGTTTATTAGAGACAGTTCCCTGCTCCCTGGCTTACAGTCTAAAAAGACATGTTCACAAAAGGAGAAGGGAAGGATCAAGTCTAGCACATACTGCCGGTTCTTCTCTCCCTCCAAGGCCAGGGTGATGGCAAATTAAGATGGAGGGATTAAGATTAAGATGGAGTTGTGTTTGTCACACAAGTAGGTAAGAGGCAACATCTACTGACATTCACCCTGCTGCAAAAGAATTCTCTCCAGTTTTTACTCAGGCAACCCTAAGGGTCACACAAATCCCACCACTGTTGCAGAATGAATTGGCTCATTGTTTTGTGTTTGCGCACTTTTGTCTTGCCAACAAAGACAACAAGACCAGAAGGAACCATTCATCTATCCTGGCAGCTCTCACATCTCCTTTAGTTGGGTCCACAATCACTCTACAAGGCCAAAGGATCTTTATTTCTTTCATAACTCTCCCTAAAATGGAACACAAACACAGAGAGAGCTATTCTTACCAGAATACTTAGAATACTATACTTACCAGAATACTCTGGGCTGCCGGTATTATTGTTTGTTTGTTTATATGTAATTTATTTTAAGTATGTTTTAAATTGTTTCATTGTTTAATGCTATTTAAGGGATGGGTGGGATTATGGGTTATGTAGTGCATTTTTAATGTTGTAAGCTGCCCTGGTTGTGTACACAGAGGGGCGGGATAATAATAATAATAATATTATTATTATTCCCCCCTTACATTGCTCTCTTCCCTCAGCAACAATGGATGGCTGTCTTCCCATGCAGTCCCTGTTTGTTGCCTGATGCCACTGCTGTGGTCAGAGCAAGGAACCCAGCCACAGTATCGATAGTCGGCACCTAGTTCTGACCTCAGAGTGACTTGTGCCCACAGTGGCAAGCACCAGGTGATGAACGGGTACCATAAGTGAAAAGGTAGCTACTGCCACCACTGAAATGCACTGAAAACTCAGAGCAAAAGGTGAGATTTTTTAAAAAATAAAGGTTAGGGGGAGGAAGTCCTGAATGGGGTGCAAGCATTGTGAAGACAGTCGGGGTATTGGCCCTGCATTGTTTAAGCAGGACACAGTGAACCCAGGGAGAACTCTGAGTACAACATCCATGTAGGCAAAGCATCAGTCTGCTTGTAGTTTTCTTTCTTCGAAGCTTCTTTCACAGATGATTTCCCACAAGGATATTAGGAGCATTATATGCAGGCATTTGCAGTGCTAAAACACTTTAATGTGACAAAGTAAGAAGATGAAAATACAATTTTGCAGCACACAATGGAATGCGGGAGCCTCGGAGCACTTTGCATCCTCCTGCAGGACACAAAGCTTGCCTCCTTAGCAGCCTTGACAGCTGAAAGATAATCCCAGAGCAGCCTATTAACCCCCCTCCCCTGAATATATTTCTGCTCCTTCCAGCAGTGCAGGCAGGGGAGATGCAAACCCATCCACAGCTGGCTGCAAGATCTTTACAGATGGCTAAATAAAACCATGTAAACAGGAGCAAGCCGGCAGGACAAGTTGGGAAGGGGGTGGCTGTCATGGAAGTGTGAAAGATCATCTGGCCCCTCATTGCCTTTAAAGTTACTATCTTCAAGAAAAGGAGGGGGGATTTAAACCCAAATCCAGAAATATTTCAATTGTCATTGTTTAATTTCTCAAAGTCTGGGTAAAGATGTGCCTGGTTGTTTTGAAATATATGCAACAGTCCCCAGAGCTTGGGATGGCGGGGGTGGGGGGAGAGATTTAATTAGCCATTCTAGGAATCTGTAAGTTGCGAGGCTAAAAAAATTAACTTTTACATGCTGTGGTACTTTACCTTAATATGGAAAGATTAAATCAGTACCAGGCAAAGAACCACTGAATGCCCAGCCACACATTGAAAGTACAAGTTCATAGAATCATAGCGGTGGAAGAGACCCCAAGGGCCATCCAGCCCAACCCCCTGTCATGCAGGAACTCACAATCAAACCATCCCCGACAGATGGCCATCCATCCTCTGTTTAAAGTCTTCCAAAGAAGGAGACTCCACCACACTCCGAGGAAGTTGTATGTACAGGCCATCTTAATTTTTGATCAGAAGGAAGAGTGGAGCAAAAGTCCCATTATCTTTACCCACCTTCGGCCTGGACTACTGGGTGGGATGCCTTGGTCTGGACTGAGGGAGCTTTCAGTCGACAGCATGGAGGTGAGAGATGCAGGTGGTTCCAGAAACCGAGTGTGTGTGGCCATTGGTGCAGGGGTGCTGGCGAGATCCCTGGAATGAGAGGTAAAGAGCTTGTGAGGACCGTTTCCATGTATATCCATCACAGCAAAAAAGAGAGTGGCTGACACAGGTTGCAATCCAGCATCCGCCCAGTGTAGCATAGACACCTGCATGTGGAGATATGCTATGACAACACTATGCAACTCCCACACAAGACAGCAACATTGCACAGAAAGTCAATGACTAAGTGCTGTTGTTCAAGGCATAATATCCAATGCCCAACCACAAAGCACAGGGGAACATGCTGTCTGTACAATTCCATTTCTGCTGCTATCAGCAGAATACATTTGTTGCTCAATGGTGAGTTTTTGCCTTGCATGGTTAGTGTGATAGATGTGTGTGTACTGAATTCTTTTTCAGCCATGAAACCCACTAGGTGACCTTGGGCAAATCACACTCTCAGCCTCAGAGGATGGCAAGAGCAAAACCCTTCTGAAGAATGTGCCAAGAAAAACCCATGATAGGTTTGCCATAAGGTCACCGTAAGTTGGAAATGACCTGAAGTCACCCAACAACAACCAATATCTCTAACTGGATGCCAGCCAAAATCAAGTAACTCTCAAGGAGGTGCCTTTACTTAGCTTTCAACCCTTAATTCATATTGTCAGTCCTGGTCTCTCCTCTCTGTGTTGGAGAGATCTATAGTATTGCTATAGTTTCCCTATTTAAGGAGCCCTGGTGGCGCAGTGGTTGAATGCCGGTCCTGCAGCCACAATGTTGTTAAGTTTGATCCTGGAAGGCTCCAAGGTCCACTCAGCCTTTCATCCTTTTGTGGGTCGGTAAAATGAGTACCCAGCTTATTGGGGGCAACTGGCTTACCCACTGTAAACCGCTTAGGGACTGCTGGTTTACTGATAAGCGGTATAGAAATGTACTTGCTATTGCTACTGCGATACCTCCACCTATGGATAGCTGCTCTTTTAAATTGGTTGATGCTCCCTTGCTTTATCCTGTTCCTGGAAGTCCTTTATGTAGGACTACCTTCCTCTCTTTCTTCAGTCTGTCCTTTATCCTTACAACTACTGTAATTCTTTCCATTATGTCTTTGGCTTCAGGGCCAGTGTGGTGTAGTGGTTTGAGTGCTGGACTACAACTGTGGAGTCCAGGGTTCGAATCCCAGCTCGGCCATGGAAACCCATTGGGCGAGTCATACTCTCTCAGTCCCAGAGGAAGGCAAAAGCAAACCTCCTCTGAATAAATCTTGCCAAAAAAACCCTACAACAGGTTCACCTTTGGGTTGCCATTAAGTCAGAAATGATTTGAAGGCACACCACCACCACAAGAACAATTTGGCTTCAGCCCATAGTTCTCCTCTCCAAGTAAAATTAAATCTGAACAACTGCTTCTGTATATATTCATCTACTGTTAGACCTGTTGCTCCTTTCCTTCACCCTCATCTTCTTTCCTATACATTTGGAATTTTGGTTGTAAGCACCTATGGGCAGAGACCTGACTTTTTACATCAAATTCCTATGAAGTCACAACTCTTCTGATGGCACTGCATAGCACCAGCAACAACACAGTTGAACTATGGCCTGAATCTCATTGTTAGTACCAACTCAAGCACACCCATTAAATTAATGGAATGTACTTATGTCCTGACCCACTGTTCTGGCCATTGATTCAACAGATCTGCGCTAGTAGGATTCATGCGTATGCTTTTAGAATAATCTGATACACTCCTGATTGTTTTTCTTATTAAGTGTTGATAACAAGCCATGTGATATTTTCTAAGGAGCTGATTTTGCCCCATGTACAATGCTGGAAGACACAGTTCAAACACAGAGGTTATGGAGGGAAATGTCACTCAGTGGTTCTGATGGAGAAAAGTCACAGCATAACAAGTTTCTGGCAACGCAGCTCCACTTCCAAGAGTTTCTGACTGGCAGCCAGTGAGCGACTGTTCTCAAAGGCCAAGTCATGGCAGAAAGCTAATCTACGTCCTTCCGGGGTTTTTTAGTCAGACAGTTGAGACAAACATATGTTTTACATGGGGGGCTGAAGAAAACATTCTGACCTCTATCCTCTGAGCAATACATTTCCATTCATCCTGCCTAGCCATGTTCACACCACATCCCCTGCATATCTCACAGACACAGAGAAGCAGAGCTGTATATAATTTGTAAGTACTCAAGCGCTTAAATCCTGCAGTCTGTGTAAGTTACACATACAGTAACTGTGCGTGTATCCGTATCCTCCAAATGTCCCGCTTTGGCAGGGACACATCCAATTTAATCCTCTGTTGTCCCACTCTTTCATCTGTTTTTAAACTGTCCCAGTTTCTCTCAACGCCTCTCACTTTCCTCTTTTCAGGGCTTTATCACACCATGGTGCTATGGGGGGAAGCAGACGGGCGGCACGGGGCTGCCCCAGGAAGCTGCGGATCAGGGCCAAGGTATCCACACTCCTCGGCCCCGAGCCACAGCGTCCCAGGCCCAGGAAGGAGCACTAAAATAGTGTTCCTTCCGCAAGACGCCGAAGGTGCGCCGCAAAAGGCCTCCGGCACACCTTCAGCGCCTCTTCCGCTGCGGCATGTGTGGACGCTGCAGCAGAAGTGCATCGTTGGAGCGCCAGCCATGCGGAGCGACGGGCGCTCCGATGACGTATTCAGGAAGGGGTTGGGGCGCCCAGCGTGAGGCTGCCCCTTCCTTTCCTGGCCTCGAAAACGGCGTTTTGCGCCATCTGCTTAGACCCATGCAGCAACACTGTCAGAGATCGTGCCCTATCCCATGACACTGTTGGTGTACTGGCATCCCATTGCAGTACCATCACAAATGGGCATTTTTGGAAACTGGAAATAATCTGTTAACTACCACTTTTTACACTACCAAACAATAGCTTTTTTGCTGCAGAACTTTGATCCTGCTTCCTTCCGGGATAACTCCAATGCATCGCATTGTGCATTGGTCCCATTGTGCCCCTGGCACCAGTGCACAACAGCCACTCTTGTCAGCTCTGCTATGTAGAAACTTAGGAGCAGCTCTTTATTGGAGACGAACATTGTGCAATTTTAACTCCCACAGATGTAGAAAGTTACAACAAGCCAATAGGATTCCAGCCATCACTTGTGATGCAAGCATCTTTCAAAAAAACAAAAAAACAGAATTTAAAAACCTATTTTTGGAGGAGACAAGGTATCCGTTAAAGATGCTGAACAAGCCACCCTACCTCAGTGTAAAACAACCCAACAATCTATAACACAAATTGCCCAGAAGGTGTTTGATCTTAGATTTCCCTTTTTAAAAGTTTAGTAGCTGAATGCTATACCTTGAAAAGTCAATTTTCAATGGCATCTAAACCCAGTGTTCAGAATAATGATATAGTGTACTCAGATTACATTTGTGACAGGACTGGGCAGGTGGGTGAGTACACCTGTATTTGCACCTGGGAAACAGATGTGCCTGGAGCAAAGGTTTTTCCCAGGCATGAAAAAAAAAATAAATAAGGACATGCACAGGATATGATGCTTTATTGGCATTGCACACAGGAAGGCTGTATTTCTAGAAATGTGCTCTCTGCTTAGAAGTTGTATGTTGGTGTTTTTAAAAAAAATCCTGCTTTAGGAATCTGGTAATTTTCAGCTAGTTTCTGGGAGATGAAGGGATGTGTCAGGGGCAAAACCAGAGCATGTCTCCCCTAGAAGAATTCTTTCCCACAAATGATATTTTTCTAGCATTACAGTATTTTAGAACTTGAATTGAGCATTTAGAAATACACTTTAAGACTTCAAAGAAAAAGAGAAGGCAAAGCAATCAAGGTGACAGAGACGTAGCAAACCGAAGTTTTCTATGTGAAAATCTGTATTGCTTAGTAATTTGTAGATGAAAGTAAATTTTTATTTGTTGGGGGGGTTGTCAGAATTTTTCTTTGGGGGCAAAGCCTTCATTTTGCCCCTGCTCCTGTATGTAGACCCCTGGTTCCCAGTACAGTTGGCCCTCCACATTTTCGGCTTTGATTTTGCGGATTTGATTATTTGTGGGTTTGATTAATAAGTTCCTTCTAGAATTTCTAGGTCCTCCAGAGCAACTCTGCCAGAAGTTGATTGTAGAGTTGTGCTGGACAACCCAGAAGTTCCTAGAGAACACACTTTTCTAGGCATTTGTAGATCCTCCAGCATGGGTCTATGATCAACTTCTGGCACATGTTGACCATAGAGATGCACTGGAGGACCTGGAGATATCTAGAGAGGTGTTCTCTCTGGCAAAAAGAACAGTATTTTTTATTTGTGGTTTGTCCACATTCATGGGGTCTTTCACCCCTAACCCCAGCGAATGTGGCGGGACCACTGTATTCTCTATATGTCACAAGACTGAAGCTCCTGAGATGGATGAGAGGGATCCTTCTTTGTGTTGCAGCGAGTGATGCTGCAGAGCCATCCCTAGGGAACTCTTGGGCAATACGGCAATCATTACTCGGAAAATAAGAAAAGCTTTGCCAGATCAAGCCAAAATCCATGTAATCCAGCTTTCTCATAGGGGTCACATTGATTTGCCTCAGGGAAGTCCAAAAGCTGGGAAAGACTTTAGCCCAATCCCACTGTTGTTTTCCAGCATCTGCCTCCAACATTTTAAAGATGAAAACTGGAATATGTGTGGCCAAGAAAGATCAAAGTATGATCAAGATGGCAACAGTTTTTAGTGAGGAAGCGCACCTGAGCTAGTAGTGTCTGTAGCAGTTTTCTTTTTCTTGAGCCTACTGGGAAGGGCAAGATTCTGACTTCTTCTTCTCTCCTCTCACTGCGTTAACAGTGTAAACTACTCTTACACTTGAACTCGAGTTGGCACCAACTGGAATAAGATGAGGATGAAGAGAAAGTGGGAGATGGAGAGAGGAACTGGGACATTTTAAAAACAGCTGAAAACATGGGGCAACAAAGGATTAATTTGGACTGACTCTGCCAAACTGGGATAGTTGGAGAGTGTGCCTTTGCACATAGCTAATCCCAGATAGCCTTTATGGCTAATACCCATGGATGGATCTGTCGAACCTCAATTAATTTAATGACTGAAGCTATACCTTAATTCTAAAAATTAATTACAGTATGTACGGCATACTTGAATAGGGAATTCTCAGGTTAAGCTTTCTAGAATGCCCAACAACAACCTGGCCAACTCCTCTGCATTCCAGTTTTAACTTATGAGGATGACAGACTTGCTTTTCAGAGGATGATAAAGCATGTACTACATACCCAAATTTGGGGTGATGACTAGCATTCTAACTCTACATACTGCAGTGCTCAGTTTTGATCATAGTAAGAGTAGTTGGGCCCTTTGTTATTTGTTGTTCAATGCCTTCAAGTTGACTCAGACATATGACAACTCTATAATAGGGTACTGGCAAGACTTATTCCAAGGTGGCTTGCCACTGCCTTTCTTTAAGGCTGAGAGAGTGTGGTTTGCTAAAGGCCACCCAATTTGTTTCCATGAATGAGCAAATACTCCAATCCTTGGCTGCATCTGCATTGGAGTAATAGTAGTTTGACACCATTTTAACTGCCATAGCTCAGTGCTATGGAACAGAATTGTAGTTTGTTGTAATAACAGAGCCAGCTAAATGTCTCACAAAACTACAATACCTAGAATTAGCATTGAACCACAGCAGTTAAAGTGGTGTCAAACTGAATTATTTCTGCAGTGCAGCTGCAGCCCTCATCCCAGAGTCCTAATTCAACACTCAAACTATTACACTATGCTGGTGATCATATCCTACAGTTTTCCTGGCAGGATTTATTCAGAGGGGGGTTGTCATTGCCCTTCTCTAATGTGACTTCCCAAGGTCATCTACTGGGTTTCCATGACCAAGCAGTGATTCGAACCCTGGTCTCCCAGAATCCTAGCCCAACACTCAAAACCACTACAACTTGCTGACTAGTTGTGCCCTCGATTCTGTTCAAAGGGTAAGATTGACATTTGTTATTTATTAAGTGGAAAAGTGGGAGATGGCTTTACATTTCTGTGTAAAATTTATTATTTTGTATGTGCTGGGAGAACAAACACATCTGATGATCTTAATGAGGAATCTGCCCTCAGGACAAGAGGCTACTCTCAGGACAGAAGATGGAGAAACAGAATGGTTCCCAATTGGCAAAGGGCTCACACAAGGCTGTATCCTATCATCCTACCTATTCA